GTGCTGCTGTGCAAAGCAATCAAACGTGACAGTCGAACAGTTCAACGACGCCGAAAAGTACAGACTCGTAGCAAGCAGAGCCTAAAACAAAGAGAGCTGGCCAGTATGAGGATAACAGACGAGGGAATACTCTCTACTTAGTATATAATTATTATTATATATTTATTCGTTTGTCGTATGAAATTAAACGCCTTTTCTTGGCTCTGCCATATGATTACGTCTTAAGACTCGTATTAAGCTATCATTAAATTTAGTACTTCTATTAAACGTATATCAAGACGACTGTAAATACACGAATAAAACTGTGTAATAATAATAAAGTGTGTTTAATAGGCTCTTTCTCTTCATATTTTTATGAGGTGAATCGCATAAAAGAGACGAACACAAATAACGGAACGTGCAGGACTCGTGTTGGCCCAAACTCAAAATCGTTAAGGGTTAAATAGTTGTTTTTGTTGCCTAGTTAAACTAATCAAAGGCAACGACATTCGGTTTTGCGGTCTATTGAAAGAGACACAGAGAGCGAGCCAGAGAGAGACAGAGAGAGAGAGAGAGAGAGAGAGATGGCGTGTGTGAATGTAGAGTTAGAGCAGCAGCGAGAAAGCTGATTTTCACTTTTACATTCAGGGCCTCATTGCAGGGCGTTGACGCCCGTTTTGACGCCCGACGCTCAGCTGTAAACTGATTATTTGGCTGTCCCGAAATAGACACAGACCTGCTTAAAAATTGAGCTACAGTGGATTGAAAGCTCAAACACACACATGCAGTATATATAGTATAATGATCTAGGAAAGGGCTGAGCTTGTTCTTGTGAATAAGAACTTATTTGTATAATTATAGCAAATAAAAAATAATTATTTAGCTAGAATCAATAATTTTATATAAATTTTAAATATATGTATTTTATTTATATATGAGAGCTAGAAGATATCATCAGCATTAAATATATGATATACCTCTGATATATTTTAGAGTAAGATCTGTATCCATTTTTATTATAAATAAAAAATATAATATTTTAGCTGGAATAATCCGTAATAATAATAAGGATTTATATAAAGAGATTATCGTCTGTTATAATAAATATTAATAAATATTAAAAATAAGAGCGAAAATAAATTAATATATGTATGTATAAGAGCAAGAAGATATCATTAAAAATAGTCAATTTACAATCATGCCACTTTAAAATAACTGTTTTATTTTAGAGTGTCATTATTCTTCACTTTTATAATATAATTATAAATAATAAAAATAATAATTTAGCTGGAATAATCAATAATTATATAAAATTAAAAGCAGAAGTATCATCAGCAACTGTCAACCTATCATTCAACTGTCAATGGCATTCGCCAAGGACTTGTTCTGCTTCAGACTCCTCAGACGACTCTCGGTTTCGAGTTGGATTCCACAGTGCCAGGGTGGTTCGACTGGTGGACTGTTTCGACAAGGGCGAAGCTGCGGCAAAGCGAGCAGCTATCTATCTGGCTGAATGTCTGTCAATCCATCAGTCCATCAGTCTGTCAGCCAGCAGGCTCTTCTATTTGACTGTGCGTGTGCATTTGTATGTATAGCAATTCGTTTGAAATTATTATACGAAATGGCAAAGGTCGCATGCGTGGCGATCCTTGACGCATTTGATTAGCCTTTGCCAGTGGCAGCCTCTGCGTCGATTTATGACTTCGAAATGCTGCCAGCGCCAACCTCAGCGTCCGCCCTAACGTCCACACGTCCACGTCCACCTCCACCCTGCACCCTCCACCCTCCACCCTCCATCACCGAGCACAATTGTATTAGCGTTTTGCTATTTGTTTAAGCATATTTGTTTTTATTTTTATTGAGCTTTAAGCGCCAACTGGCAGCGTCATCGTCATTGCTAACGTCCTTGGGCTGAGGTCATACGCTGCGTATAAGTAACGTCAACAGCGACTAATGGACAGTGTCAGGGACGGAAGTTTCCATGGCTGTTGCTGCAGAGCTGCAGCTGCTATTACTCTGCGGCTACTCCTGCTGCTGCTCCAGCTCCTGCTGCTGGACACTATCCAGAGTTGCAGATGCAGGCAGCTGTTAATTATCCCGAGCAGGCTGGCCAGGCTGCTTATTACGTTAATGTCTGGTTGCATTTCGCGTGCATGGCATTGCCTATGGCAGCCGGCAATTGCCAGGACAATGCGAGCGCATGCCAGAACACGTCCGGCTGTCTTATCAATGCAAAATGTTGCCTACGTGCCCCGGCACGACTATAAAATGTGCCACAGCACTGGCAGCAACAGCAGCAGCAGCAGCAGCAGCAGCAGCAGCAGCAGCAGCAGCAGCAGCAGCAGCAATTGTAGTCGTAATTGCCAACCAGTTGGCCAGCTAGCAAATGGCCAACGTCAGCAGCATTGTCCTGCCTTATCCTGCTGGCAGTCAAGCTAATTAAAGTGCACGCAAATTTGAATTATCTGACGCCTTCTGAGGCCATTTTGGGTGCCATCGATATATCAGGCCAAATGGCCAGCAAATGAAGAATTATCTTTGGCATTATCAGCGGCGATTTGCAGTGAAACGACGACGACGCAACACACCCAATCGCACACATTTATTGGCATGTTTGAAGTAAAATAAATTGCGCATACGCAATGTGGCAATTTATGCGGCTAGCATGCAAGCTCATTCAGCTCGGCCAGACTCGAGCTGAGAAATCACAGCTGCTATGCTATCATACGCAATGCGAATGGAGGAGCCCGAACGAAATGAAATGAGCGAGAACTAACTTAAATATATGTGGCGTGTGTGGCGACTAATGAACTGTGCCACACACCACACACACACACACATAATAAAACTTGGTATGCAGTCTGCGTACACTTGCCACCATTAGGAAATTAATATCTGAATAACTAATTAAAGGTCAATGCTGGCGTTGAGCGTAGATCTATGCAGGGAGAGATGGAGACTAAGGCATGAGTAACATTTGAAATATTATTTTGAAACCGTAAAACGAAGCTAAGTAAACTCTTATAATCAGCTATTATTTTTAAATTTTTCCTCTTATTACTAAACTACAATTAACATATCAGCTCTAACAGCAGCAGATTTTTCTCTTGGCAACTAGCTCGCCTAGGTCTTGCTACGCTTCGCTTCCATTAAGTGAAAGTAAGTAAGGTTCTATACCATTTGAGAATTGAGCCCTTCTACCTTCTGCAAAGAGAGTCAATGCAACTGGGACCAGTTTGCACTTTTCGTATGTTGCCCCATGGAATACTAGTGGAAAAAGAGCGAGTGCTGTTCGCTTACAACTAAACAGCGGTAAATTATTCTAGTATATGTGCTACGCTATGCTTTTAGTTATATTTATATATTCAAATTATTGATAAATATTTGAAAAATATAAAAATCATTCATAGAAAACTCTAAACTTTTATCATCGCCATGGAAAACAGAAAATTTAATTGAATGATTGTGACGTTTCCTCTATGTATTCTAATATATGCATTGTATTTATTTAATTTGCTTTTATATATTGTATATGTACATATGTATATTTATTTAAATATTTATTATATTTATTTAACATATGAACATATCTTTATTTATTAATGTTGCTCTATTTTGTTTTATATACATTTTATTTATTTTAATAATATACATATATATCTATTATTAAAAAAAATATTTATCGAATAATCATGATTACTCATGCTTTACAGTAGAAGCGTTCTTATAGAAATAGATGCTAGATGTTTATCTAAAAATGTTTGCTAATTCAAAAATTCATAAGAACTTGAGACAAAGGCAGAAATCTCCTATAAATAGGATATTGAACTTGGAAATTAAAAATTAATTTGCCATAATGGACATGCACATGAATAATTGAAAAGAAAATTAAATAAATTGAGCAAGAAAACTTGATGTTGGGAAGACAGTTTGAGGCCTAAGGGCATTGCAAAGGCAGTTGACTGGAATGGCCAAACGCCCCGATTTACATAAAGTCAGCTACTATCTACATATGCCTATCTCAAGTGTACAATTTCTTGAGTGTTCTTTATTTGAAGCGACTTCACGCATATGCTTAAGAATTTTATGCGATGAAACATCGTTTGAAGCACTCATTTTTCCATCTTATCTGCTGTTACTTATGAGTGTTATATTTCTTGCCTGCGCGCTTTCTGCTTTCTGTTTTCAGTTTTCAGTTTGCTGCTGTCTGTTGTCTGCTTTTGGTCTTCAGTTTTCAACACTTTTCTCTGGCGCTAGTTCCAAATGCACTTCGAGTATTTTCTTTATCTTTTTTTGTGCTTACTTCGAGTCTCGAATTTGTATTCATTACCCGAACAGTCTGTGGCACAGCCTTCAGCTCTGCTCTGCGCTGCTCTGCTTTGGTCTTTATCTGCTGCTTATTTATTTGTTTTTATTTTCATTTCGCAGTCAGCTCTAAAATATCAAATAGGACCAAGAGCAAGGCAATGGCAAAGGCAAAGGCAAAGGCAAAGGCAAAGGCAAATCCAGAGCCAAATGCCTTTGGTGGTTAAGAGAAAACCCCGAAGCTGTCGCTCACACATTTGTCGTCCGTCCGGGCTGTAGTTATGTCCCTTTGTGTCGAGTTCTTGGCTTTGGCTATTTTTAGTTCCAGTGATTTGTTTTGCCTACTATTTCTGCCCGGCCTATCCTTTCGGCCATGCCTTTTGTTATTTTTGCGGTTTGGCACTTGCTACATGCAAATTTTTTGTTTAGGCTCACACACACACCGAAGCCTTAACCATACATGACCCAAAGTTATGTCCCACCCGAAACTGAAACCGAACGCTCCGCCCGTCCGTCCAGCTGTCTCTGTTGGCATTTGGCCTGCTCCCCACCCGACCATGTCTACCGAGATGTGGCTTAGCCCTGTCGACCGTTGGCGTTAAAAGGATTAAAATGTCTGCCATGGACTTGTGGCATTCCGCAGAGCCGCCTCGTTTGTGGCACTCAAGTGTGCGTTGACCAATTGGACGCAAATCTGCAATCTGTGCCTCACTTACCTTCACAAAGTGGTAGAACAGCACCGCTCCCACGGTGGACAGGGCGAACCAGACGAATACCGCAAATGTTGAGATGTTTGAAATGTTCAGCGCATGCAGCAGATGCGAACTGACAATGGCAGCCGCCTGGCAGAACAGGAACGGCATAAAGAGTCGCTCGAAGATGTCCCATGGAATCTCGGCCGATTTCTGGGGCAGCGCCGAAATCGAGCCACGGCGCAATGAGGCGCGACGTGAGGCACGGCGCTGCAATAAAAATAAATACAATAAAATATTAATAGGTTGCACGTGATATACATAAAAAGATACAGAATTATTATTAGCTTTATATATATATATATTGAGCATTAGTAGATTATACAAGTAGATATACATATACAAAAGCTGAACTTATTTTGGACATTTATAAATATAAAGTGGCAGATAGCTACTACATAAATTAAAGCATTTCATATTGATTGGAATTTGGCATTTGATTAAATTTTTTTCTTTCTAATTTTAGAAATATTAAATTTTCACAAAATTTGTGGTATGAAATGGCAAAAAATAAATTCAGGAAATATATATTTCTTTAGTACTACTATAAGTCTATGATTCGATTAATATAAAAAGTATTTTAAAAATATTAAATTTATGTTTTATTATTATAAAATTAAATTTATGGTTTTTAAATGCTTAAAAATACATAAGTATATATTTTTGTCTATTGACATTTTAAAGTTAGTTTACATAATTGTAAATTCAATTTACATATTTTTTAATAATATTATGAATAAAAAAATTTCCTGAAAAATGTTAAGTTCTTGGTTTTATGAGTTTTTTTTTCTTTTTATTTGAAATGTCTTGACTCATTAATTATAATTCTATCTTTAACGGCCAGCCGCCCCCTAGCAACAAGCCATATAATGTTTTTTACACATCTACATGTTTATTATGAGTAATGTCTACATATATCCATCTATATCTATATATACATTATTTTACTTATATTTTAAAAGTCAAAAATTATATATGAATATATATACAAAATGTCTAAAAACCACTATAGGAAATAAAAGTTCTATTTGTTTTGACAGTCGGACAAATACTTGAGAGGATTTCTGCTTTACAATCGAAATGTTTTGGGCCCCATGTGATGAGGCAAATTGTGTGTTGTTTAATCAATTGCAAATATTTGTGTGCAAATTATAAAAGCAATTGATTTTGCTCTTTTGCTATTTGGCGTTCAATAAACAATGCGCTTTTATTTAAATTATACAATTTGTTTGCCCCGCTGGCGCGTCGTCAATCGCGGCATTCTTTGCGGTCTACAAATGCGCGCGCGCTGAAAATGTTCAATTGTTTACATAGAGATTAGTGTCACACACACACACATACACACACATACAACTGCTGTTAAATGTTTATTTATTTGTTGGTTTTCAAAGCGATTCTCGCAAATTACATTGTGCAACATAATTGCTCACGCACATTTGCAGCTTTAACTTTTAACCTTTGCATTTTAGGCATTCAGGAAATTATTGCTGTTCAATTTTATTTATAATAGTGTAATTTATGATGGTGCTTAATTGATTAATTTTCATTTACTTATAAACATACATATAAAGGAATTATAATAATATAATTTTATTTGTAATCAATGTTAATAAATCAAGGAGCACCTGTGACTGTGCTTAGGGTTATTCATTGATATTTATGTAGAATTTCAATGCTGACTTCATGGCAGATTCCCACAGCTGCAACGCATAAGTCTGAGCTGGCTTAAGCACAGTCTTCTATAAATATTATAGATACAGATATACATTTACATTCATGCAAGTCTGTGTAAAAATTGTACGAAGTTCATTGAACGTCAAGTCTGTTCATTAAAAAAATCTGCATGCTACATTAAAATTATATTTTATATCCATAGATAAATGATCTGTGAAGTGGAATATTTTTTAATTGTTTGCTGCTCTTGTTCTTGTTGTTCTTTCTGTTTCACTGTCATCAACACACGCATAAATAAATAGCAATTTATTCTGCATTTTATATTGTATATGAATGCTTGGATTTACTCAAGAATTCGCTGTGGTTTATTAGACAATCAAATTCTATAAATAATATTGCTAATCTGCGAGAGATTTTGTTTGCAGACAATAAATAAGATGCAGAACTTATCTTTGCTTTTGTCGAAATGAAAATGCGTGTTATATTTAAGGCAATTTACACATTTACATTTAATTAAATGTAAACAAATTGCATATTAATTTGGCTTGCCCATCAAAATATTTGTACTTCAATTAATTAGCGCTAAAGTACTAAAAAGTATATGAATATGTATGTATGTATGTTTGTGGTCATTTCATTTGAGCTCTGCACAATTTAGAAATTCGTGGAATATTGATGGCAACCAATAAAATGCACTTAATTACAAGAACAATATGTGAATAATGAAATTGAAATGAATGGAAGATGCAGGGCAAACGTTTAATTGCATAGGTAAAACCGAACCGAATCGAACCGAACCGGACCGGACCGCAATAACCTAACTGCACGTCCGGCTGGCATCTATCATGACCACACCCACACATTGACATTGACATATAGCAATTACACTTGACATATGCAAGTGTGTGTGTGAGTGTGTGTGTGGGGGCATAGGGTCGTATGGACGACCCAGACCTGGCTAAAAGCCGTCCACGCCCATAAATCAACGACTGTGTGAAATAATCAAATGGTGGCATCTGCATAAATACGGCCAATTGATTTATTTGCACGAAAATAAACCAATTCTATGGTTGCCTTTTGGCCAAATTGTAAAATGGTTTGGCTATTTTTACACTAGCTCGAAATAAATTGAAAGGAAATCAACTATTTGTGTTTCTTTTTTTTTGCTTCTCTTTTTGCTGTTGCTGTTATTGTTGTTGTTATTATTTTTGAGTTTGGGCCAAACGCGTCGAGTACATCGTCATCGTCATCGTTTCGCTGTTTTGACCTTGTCACCAATCTTAACTTTTCTTTCATTTTCTTGGCTTCTCTTTCGTTTTTTCGTGTAATTGCTGCGAGCAGATCCATTAATCTAATCTGTTAACGAGCTCCACAGCTATCCAGCTGCTTTGTCGTCTTCTGCTGCTGCTTCCTCTTCTACACTTTCGCAACGTGTGGCAACGCTGTGGCAATATTTTTTTATTATTTTCTTAAATCTTTGCGTATATTTCAAAACTTTTGCTTGGCTTCAAGCAAATATTTGAATTTATTATGCTTGATTTGTCTGCTCAGCTGCCAGCAAAAATTTTAGTTTCTGTTCCATTTCTATATATATGTATATGATTTTCATTTTTCTTTTGCTTTTTCGCTTTTTCTGTTTTGGAGGGGGATTCTATAAAAAAAAACATTGTGAATGTTGTGCACGTAAATCAGTTTGGTTTGTCGCCGAACCGGGCCGGGCAGGCTAATATTAATAGTCCAAAGATATGGAAATATTTTTAGCATCTCAGTGTGGGTTTCGCATCGAAGTACTTCCAATCGAAAATTCTGGCAAAAATATTTCGGCAAACAAGTTCTTTTTTCGAAATTGAGAAATTTGGCAAAATGTCCATTAGGAAGCGTTTTACGACCGAACAAATTACTCAGCAATTATATATATGAATTTACTTGAATAAAACCCATAACATAAAAATCAATGTTATGAATGCAGGCAATATGTCTTTAAAAGAGCGGAAATGAATTTACTTTTGATCTTCCACTGAAAACTGCGAATATACTAAAAAATCTGCAGATATTTATATAACTTGAAGTAATTATCTTCTGTGTTCTTTATTATAGACTGTAAAAATTTAAATTCTACTTTAATGTCACATGAAAAAGCTTTCCTTACACTCTGATTTACATAGAAGTCATTTGGAAATCTATAAGTACAATCTATTTTGAGTACTGGAGATAGCCTATAAAAAAAAAAAATCCCACTCCGCTGCTGGTAATGCCATTAGCCGAAGAAAGTCATAAGTGATTAAAGGTGAAAGCTAAAGTCTTGGCCAAAAATCGAACATATACATGTATGCATTCTATATGCATGTGTGTGTGTGTGTGCGTTTGCGTGTATATAGGGATGCATTTTTATGGCCCTCGCGATGCTTGGCAGCTGTTGACCCAGTTGGAACTTGGCCATTTAGTGAATTTCTGTAATTAATTTTATGGAGAGCGTTGGGCGTCCCCTCCAAGACTGCTGGATGTTTGTTAACCAACTGGAACGGCAAATGTTTGGCTGTCCCCAAGGGGGCGTGGCAGGCAAATGCTTGACGTATTTTTGTCCATTGTCATTTCGAGGTTAAGCTAACTGGGCCAAGTGTGACGAGGTACCCAGCTACGATTGCCTGATTTGGCTGGCAATCAATTTGGCTTGCGGCTAATGTAAACATGGCTAGAAATATGTTTTCTTATAGCTTACCATATTGTTATCGAAGACCTGCATGGCGGCTGCTGATGCTGCTGCAGCGGCTGTTTGGGAACGAGAGATGGAGGAGATGAGACGATGAGATGTTTGAGTTCAAGTAATTCAATTGATTGGTATTTATTTGGCCAATTCACTCACTTTCACGGCGTTGCTTATTATATAAAATTCAGTTAGCTGCAAGGAGCTGAATGCAAATGCAAATGAAATGTTTCAAAAATATTTCTCAAAACCGTTTTTCGCGTTCGGCTCGTGGCTGGGCGCACTGAAACACGGCGTAGCACTAAGCGAGCCGCTGGCTGCGGCTGTCCGTTTGCTGCCTGCAGCTGGCCGTGCTCTGCTGGCGTCGCAGTCGGCGTCGCTGTCGGCATCTGTTGTATTTCAAAATGCTGCAATGTACGAAAAACGCGGCGAGATTTGTCGTTTTGATTTTTTAAAAATATATCTCAAATATCTATACGAGTGTGTGCGTGTGTGTGTGCGTGTGCGTGTGTGGAGAAGTGCGCATGTAGCCACAGTTAGAGATACAGCCACAGATACATCAGTCGTAGCCACAGTTAGAGATACATTTATGTATATTTAGATATTTGTATGTTGAGTTTATTTATTTAAATTTGTGCGCCACACAACTGCGGCTGACGCAGACGCCACGAATGTGCCGCATTTCAATATGATTATTATTAATATAAATAAATATATATATATATATTGGATATATGTGCTCCACAATTTTCACGCTGGATAGATACATTTATCTAGCTCCATTTTAAAGTTAACACAAGTCAATATATATGTATATGTATATGTATATATATGCAGACGGCAGCCATCACATCACATTTGAATATTACTTTAAAAACTCGTGCGCATTAAATAAAAAATACTCGCATTCATATTTATGAGCCCGTGAGAGGGCGCAACGGTATTGACCCCACGCTTTGGCTCTTGGGTTCACTAGAGAACTGGAATTTTTCGTTTGCTTCTGTTTCGTGTGGCGTAACTTTTGTTGTTTACATTTTGTTATTGTTCATTTGCAAATTGCATTTTCGCATTTTATTGAAATGCTGTATATACCAAATGCAGTCAGAGGCGTTTGTGGGCGTGCAAAATAACATGCAACATGATAAACTAAAGTGCAGCCGTAATGCGTATGCAAACATTTTATGCGCTTGGATAACTTTTAACTTAAGGCCACAGCCGGCTGCAATTGTCATATTTATTCTGCTTGGGTTGTACAAACATTTTTATATAAATATAAACGGAAAATCGGGCATCGATAAAGATAATAATGTTTTATATTTAAGATACACAAAGAGGTTTTTCTGTTGTTGTCTGTTGATTTCAGCATATGTATATTCTGGCCAGATGGCTTTGCCTTGTTGAGTTTCCGATTTAAGTTTTCCAGGGGAGTCTTACCATATTATTAAATTTAGAAAAGCTTTTTAAAAAAGTCTGAGGTCTTAAAAAACATTGAAGGATTAAATGAATTATATGTAATAAATAATAAATGAAATTTAATAAAATAGATATTTATTTATTAAAATACTTAAACAATTTTTAAAAATTATGTATTAAGTTGATCTGCAATCTTCTTCGCTTCTTTGAAAAATAGCTGGGCTAAAATTGACAGTGTGTTGTCCATTTTCTTTGTTTGGCAAAGCTGAAACCTATAAATAATAAATAAAATAAAATAAATAAAATAAACAAAATAATTAAAATATATTAAGTTAACTGAAATAACTTTAATAAATAATATACAAAAATTAAATACATTAACTACATACATATTAAAAAAAAAAAAAAACAATATAAATAAAATAACAAAATACAATATAGTAAAAATAAAATAACTTATTTTGTATTTAAATGATATGAATATAAAAACAATGGTATATATTTGTCAGCTGTTATATGATCCATTATTTTAATTAAATTAATAATTCTATTAACATAAATTTTATAATATATATTACATTTGTGAAGTTTTCGTTTTTCCTTGTTGTATTGCAACAATGTATTTTAATTATGCATTATAATTTAATCTTTGTTTTTTTACAGCTCCTCTGCCTGATTTGATGACAGCCTTCCACTTCATAAAAACATAAAGCAAAAGAATGCGCAATAATATTCAATATATAAGAGTGTATAAATATATTGTAGGTGTGTATGCTAGGTACAGCGCCTTGTTAGCGCTTGTATGCATATATATGTATTTGCCTAATTTATGTATATTTTTTATAACATTTGTTTGTGCAACGTTTTGTTTGCTTCTGCTGCTGTATGTCCCATTAACAACATTGTTTTTAGCAGGAGAGGGCGTCTCTCTCTGTCTGCTCTCACTCTGCGACTCCCTCTCTCTCTCTGGGTCCGTTCGTATTTGTGCGTGATTGTTGGCCTGATGCATTTTAAAATAGCTCGTCTAATGGCTGAATTTGTTTTTGGAAAATTGTTTTTCGCCGACTTTCGTTTTTGTTTCGAGCGTCGGGCGCGACGACTCTCTCCGAATAGCTGAACGTGATTTATGAACCGCGCGCGGTGCCAACAGAACATGAAACGCAACAAACTAAGCGTAGACCCATCAATCAGCGCTGGCCAAGTATTAATTGTTAATAACAATGCCATTTCGATATTGTCAATTACACTTGGCACACAAAATTTTAACTAAAATGACAGGGCTGTAAAAATTGACTATTGCTAATAAAAAAATCATTCATGAGCAATGGCGCCAAAGAAGAAGGGCAAACTCGTCGATTGGGCGGACGATGAACACTTCTCGAAGGATCGCAGCATATTTCACATAGAGCACACCACCGAGTGCCCCATCTTCCAGGTGAAGGCCGACGAGTGCCTTACCTTCTTCCAGCAGCGCATTCCCGAGCGTGAGTTCCAGCTGATCCGGAACAAGAATGGCAAGCAGGTGCCCCGCGAGGGCGCGTTCGAGGTGAGAGTCAGCCAAAATGCTCGCACCTCCGAGCACCTGCTGTGGTCCGGCCTGAATCGGGGACCGCCGCGACGCGACAAGTTTCCGCGCTACGAGACTCTCGTCTCGGATGTGCATCGCGTGCTAAAGAAGTTCTATGCGGACAAGGTGGTGGACGTCGACGAGGAAGAGGAAGATATGTAGCTGCCTGCCCGGAAGCGACAAGACATCCGCTACACAAGCTCCACAATGGCGGGCCATTGAATGCGGCATGCATTTATGATATTTCGTTTCGCATATTAACATAACAAAGCAGCCAAAAAAAATACAGCTAATGCGTCTTATTGTCAAAGAGATGAAACTTAACGCATACACACACGCAAACACACACACGCACATACTGACACATACCAGCACCTGTTTGAAAAGTCTTTAGCATACGCACAAGACTTGCGAACTGATTAGCAGACGTCTTGTTGCCATTGCTATACTCTGTAGTCTTTTCTGAAGAGGGGTATACTCAACTTGATGGACTCTTTATACAATTCAAAATATTCTAGTTTCGTTTAAGAGTCTGCCATCAGACACTAACTACCTTTATTAGTCTGCAGTTACCCATCTCTTTACAGAGTATTTAAAAATCTTTTGTAATCCCACCTTTATTATGGCCTTTATTGTAAACTGTCAGGTGCCATACTGTCGTCACCTTTTGACAGCTAAAAATGCTAAATTCAAGCAACATAATTAACACATACACACACATACCCATACACCCACCCACCCACTCACACACACACACACACACACTATAAAAAAGAAATACAATTGTTATAAGTGTGCCGCATTGTCGACCCATTGTCTGGGAGTTCGCTTTGAATCTGGCCGCTATTCATGGGCCACTCTCGACCCCTCCGTTGACAATACAAATAACCAAATGCAATTTGAATATAAGCAAACCATGGTAGAGCAAAAAGACAAAATAAAAAATAATAAATATAGATAAATAACAACAACAATCAATGCAAACTATTTGATTTGATAACAAAATAGTAAGCACAAAAAAAAAAAAAATAAATAAATAAAGAAAAAACTAACCTAAATCTATAGCAAATAAATTAGAAAATTGCAATGCACGAATGAACAGTGGCAATCAAAGCCAGAAAATTGAACTGAATTTCGTTAGTTTTTAATATATTGATATATTATTTTTTATATATAATATTATAACAAAATAATTATAATGATATGTATATTTTGATGTATGATACTATTAAAGGTTATTTCAATTATTTCGATCAAATTGAAGAGAATTTTGTTCTATTTTAATATATAAAATTATAAAAAGTTAATTCAATAATAAATTACAGTGTATGCCAGAACATATGGATGGCATATATAACTGAATAATTTTATGAAATTTTTATTAGCGTACTATATTATTTTATTAAGCGAACTTTTTTTTGTATCCTTGAGATCAAATGTCCTATGTTTGCTTTATATATCCTTATGATATTATTTAAACTGAAGATATGTTAAATTTTTCTTTGTTAAATATTTACCTAAAACTCGTTCACTCAACACTTTTGCCTTCACAATCGTGTCACAACTTGATCGTCAAGTGACGTTAAAGCAAAGTTCTAAATATATTTTCGCTTGTCCAATCCACACATTTTCTATATATATTTAGTTTGTTAGAGTATTCACTCAAGTCTCTTTCACTTGGGTCACGTCTGCTCTGGCACAATGCGCCAGCTCTTCATCATCTGCTCTTGAATCGCAGTCTGATCCGATCTGTTTTTACTATGGTTAGCATGTACTTTGCGCATCCACAACTTGTTCGCTTTGTGCCATTGTTGGCCGCTAGGGGGCGTTATGGAAAGGCCAGCAAGCCATAAAAATCCATTGCTCAGAGCCGAACCGAAATTACAATGTTGCAACAAGAATAACAACAGAACAAGGCTCAGTTGCCAGCCAGCCTGCCACTGTTTGCATGCAGCCCAGAGCAGAGAGTGGGGGGCGTGGTGGGCGTGGTGGGCGGGCATGGCCGTGGCCCAAAGGCTTCAGTGTGCCATTTGTGCCGGCTACATTTTAACAATAAAATTTGCAGCACAAGTTGCATGCACCACGTAAAGTTGACATTGCCATCGAGTGGAAGCCCGGCAGCCGCAACAACTGCAACTACAACAACTTTAGCAACAACAACAACAACAATAACAGCAGCAACAGCAGCAGCTGCCATGAAAACAACTAAAATAATAACAGCAAAAGCTACATGAGTTGCAAAGTGTTGGCTGACCCGCTGCTGATTGTGATGTGGATGAGGATGGGGATGGGGATGTGGATGTGGATGTGGATGTGGTGTCAC